AATGTTAGAGCACTGGCTCTGTCCATCAGAGCGGCAGCTGATTACTGCAGGTGTGTCCAATGGGGTGAGTCCAATGCTAGCCGGTTGATTTGGCATGAGAAATTTACCATGGGACATACCTGAGAGTGCAAAAGATTGTCGTAGAATGTCTATAGCAATCCCATTATTTTCATTGCAGTATAAATGGTTTGTCAAAATTAAATAAGCTAAGAGCCAGGGGCCTGGACAGAGCTAATTTCAAGGTTTCAAAAAAGGTTAATGCCTGTGAGGGCAAGGAAATAGGCTTTGGAAGAAGTACACACAGATGTTTAGCCAGGACTGCAAAACTAGCAATCCACTGATGGTAGTAGTCAGCTACTCCTCAAAATTTATGTAACTCTTTTTTTTTGGCGGGGGGCAGGAGATGGTGAAGGATGGACAAAATTTACACCACGCATTTCAGGGTGAGTGTTTTAATGCCCTAAGATATCTCATGTCACAAACGACTGAGATATCTCAGTTGGAGTTTACATCTGGAGGCTTGATGGCCTCATTCAGCTAGTGTTCTTAAAAGAGTGAGGGAATCTCTTCGAGTTCCTGCTCAGTTTGATTACAGAGCAAAAGACTGTCAATATAGTGCAGCGGCATGAAGTGTGGGGAGAGGTTATAGACTCTAAGTTGGCTTTAAGAACTTGGGAAAATATTGCAGGAGACTCGCAATATCCCTGAGGTATGCAAGTCCATGTCAATGGCCTCCCTTTAAATATAAATGCAAAAAGAAATTCTGAGCTGGGCTGCAAAGGGGTGGAAAATAAAGCTGAGTGGAGGTCAACTACTGTAAACCAGGCTGTGTTAGCTGGATTTGGGACCTTAAGATGCCAAGGAATTACAAGACTTTATGGCTCTTATATCCTATACCAATTAATAAATTTGATTCCCATCAGAATCAAATTTGCCTTCTTTCTTTACTGGCAAGACTGGACTGTTGCAGGATGAGAAGGTAAAATCAATATACCCTGTTTTAAGAGGGAATCTATTATAGGGCTAATAGCTTGTTTGTGTCTATAATCATTTGGTGATACAGACTTTTTAGCTCTGAGTTAAAACCTGGGAAGGAGGGGCGTGGCATTGGGCCTTCCAGGTGAGGAGAGGAAGCCTTTCACATAGATTTAGTCCCTGTGTTCAAGGTGGCAAGGGGGGGATTGAAGTGCCATTCTGGCACCAGCTGCTTGTCAAGCAAATTTAATTCCAGGTAATCAATATGCCATTGGGAGATATTTGGGGGCAGCCTGCCTTGGGCCCCAGCACATTTTACAGAGCTTGTTGCCATGATGAAGAAGAACACATTTCCATTATATCTTAAAACTATGTTTTTCCTTAAATGTGGAAAAACTTAATTTTTGTATATCCACAGGTATTTGCTAATTTCATATTAATTCTAAGACAAGATTCCTGAGCTTTTTACTTGGACAATCATATCACCTACAGTAGTGAAAAAAGTGTTTTCCAATAGTTATAACTTATCCTAGTTTGGGTCTTATTGCATCAAAATATAGTAGATCAATATTCTGATGACAAACTGTGAAAACTTTGACAGCACATGTAAAAATTCTTTGACAAGTAGGCTTATAAAGGATATGTAAAGTTTGAAAGCTTTTGAGAGCTGAGATCAATATTGCTACTTTCTAGTCTGTTTCATCTAAAATGGGGTTAATGAAGGGCTTTAGCAGGTGAGGCAAGAGGACTTTGGAGAATGCACTCAGTGTTTGGGGAGGGGGGCTTCCGTCACCTGCACCCTCTCCATGTAAACTGCAGCAAGTAGCAGATCTTGTTAGTATTTGAGTAGAAAACCTGACCCAGAAAACTGCTCTCCTCCCTCAACAACCTGAAGCTAGTAATGTCCTGGAACGCAATACTGGCTGTCATTAAGCTGCATTCTTCTAAACCCCTGGTCTAAGTCTTTTTGAATAATCTGCCCTCACTGCACCCTCTTCCTATCTGACATTTCTGCCCAGAGAATTAATGTTATACTTTTAATCACTACTCACACACAACACTACATCAACTACTAAATTTAATATTTGAGTGCTGGTAGATAGCAAAAAAAAAAAAGGAAGAAAAAAGAAGAAGGATTTGTGGATAGAAGGCATTGGTTTTAGAATAGCTGCTTTTAACGGTGGTATACAAGTTCCAAATGCATTCAGTCATGTTCACATTCAAAGGAATAAAATTTGCCTGGCTGGTGTGGCTCAGTGGATTGACTGCTGGCCTGCAAACCAAAAGGTTGCTGGTTCAATTCCATGTCAGGGCACATGCCTGGGTTGTGGGCCAGGTCCCCAGTTGGGGGTGTGCAAGAGGCAACTGATTGATGTTTGTTTCTCTTCTCTTTCTCCCTCCCTTCCCCTCTCTATAAATAAATAAATAAGGTCTTTTAAAAAAAAAAGTAAAACTTAAGAACAACCACATTTACCATGAAACAGTGTTGGATTTATTTTATATTTAATTAATATAATGAGAAATGATTTTTATTTTTCCAAGCAACTGGAAACTTTAGTTCAATTGGTCCTACAAATGAAATAAACTAAAAATATGGCTTTCTCCTTCCCAAATAACTACAAAAGAAAACCCATTTATGTTACTTCATTTAAATGAATTATACTCGACAAATGACACAAATACATATTTAGAGACCAATGATGCTTCACATTCACATGGCTGAGTGGCTGTTTTCTATGGTCTGGGAAGAACCTAGGTAATTGCCTATAAAAGAAACATTTTCGTTAACTTGTCCATAATAAGTAATACTGAATCTTTTTGCAGTACTTCACTAACTAGAATAATCCTTCCATCACACAAAATGGCAGTTTATATATGTTTAAGGGTTTATTTGTGCATGACTTCTAATGATTTCCTACAAAAGATCTTAAATGACAGTAAGAAGAAATAGTGTTTAATAACTTACACATGAAACTATTTAAATAATTTCCTTATCTTTCCCAAAGTACATATGTTTTGCACCTTCTGAATGTAGTATGTGCTTCCTTTTGGAACCAATTTTTTTGACTCTTCAAATTGCTTGTCCTGGGAGTATATATTTCACTTGCTTTTTTAGGTTAACCTGAAAGGTATAAAAGTAAGAGTCCTAATAAACTAATTCTATGTAATGCCTTTAGTAGTCACTAGCAGTGGGGTAATATTCAGACACAACTCAACAGGTACCATTCTAGGAAGATGAGGTTCCACAGCTACATAAAAGATGGTGAGTCCACAGTTTCATTGTGGGGTTGGCGAAACAGACTCGAAAAGTCCTATTTTTATGTCTGGGGTGGAGAAAAAGCCCCCAAAACCTGCCTAAATAAATGTAAATCAGATACAATCATACTACAATAAGAGTGTTGAGATAAAGGATAACTTTGGATATTTGTAAATTTAAAAAGCTTTTTAATTTTCAATTTTGCTAAATTAAAAAAAATAATATTTAAAGCAAAAGTGGCATGATGTTAAAAAGCAGGACTCCAGGCAAGGGTTGTATGGTGTTCCCTGTACTATTGCTTTTAACTTTCCTATTAATTTGTGAATTTTTGAAATAAACATGAAAAAAGTCCATAAAACAGGACATTATGAATGAAGCTCAACTATAAGACACAAAGTGAGTGTTACTGAATATCACTGGTTTCACAGTTAGAAAGAAAAGGCCTAAAAAGCCTCAAAGGTAAAACCCTCCTGCCACTAGAGAAACCAAGAGACATTTGACATGCATTGAAAGAACCAGCTGGATTAGAAGGGAAGAGACGGAACACTCACGTAATTCCCTCACTGATGTCCTCACGTGAGTTTTCAAAGCTGCTGTATCAAATCGTGCAAAACACAGCAACCCACTGACTTTCATGTTTACAAATGATACAGCTTTACAGAAAACCATGAAACTTTCATTCTGGAGGGTCAGTATAACATACTTCTCCATAAAATAAAAATGTTTTCTAACTTTGAGGAATAAAAATGTTTTCTCAGTTGAAGGCTTGGCCACTGTCTGACATTATGAATTTCTCATGCACTATTTAAGAGGCTTTTGCTTTAGAAATAAAGTACCTGGTTTTGAATCTTGTTTAAAGCCTTAGCTAAATGATAAAGTTTCACATTTCCTGTTGGAGATTTAGCTGAACAATAAGTATCAGCTTAGCCAAAGAGCAAGCATAACAGCAACCTCAAATCATCTGTCTTTTGGTGAAAAAGCACAGTAAATGTCATGTGCTGTGAATAATACCAATACTAAAATGATCTGCCTCCAACCTAATGGTTCCTTTCGGATTCCCAGGCTTTGAAGCACAGCATGTAGAACAACGGAACACCTATTCCTTCTTCATTGGTTCTAAGAGAGAAGGACACTTACAACCCGAGGGCTAAGGAGCAACCATTGGGTAGGTAACATGAAGAAGCAAGGTCAAGGGAAACCAGTTCCTTGGAAATGGACACCAGTCACACTAGGACACAAGACGCTGGGAGGCTGGACGCAGGCAAAGAGCACCAGCCTTAATTTCTGCAGATGGTGGCAACTGCTGGTTTTTAACACTTGTCCCAGGCCTCAGGTAGGGTCTGAATATGACTCCTTCTTCTCCCCACTCCATACCCACACTTCACCATTTCTGCTAGTTCCCTACACAAATTACTGTCAATCACATCACATAACAGAACTGAGGCAGTTGTGTGGGTACTATAAAACCAGTTTTTATACAGTGTGATAACAGGGTCTGGGGAGATGGTGGGAGACAAATATATGTAAAATTGAGTGTTATTCTGTAGAAACTTTAATAATAAACAAAGATATCTTATTTAATAACCTAAGGTATTTCTAATCATCTAAGATGATTCACAGAATCGACAAAACTAGAAATTGCCATTTTTTGTTTTTAGAAACATGTGCACATTGGTAGAAACAAGTTACTCAGAAGTATTTACATCTGGTTAAGCCCATGTTTTCAAGTTCCCTGAGATGACCCACAGATACAACACACAGCACGATGTTGCAGCAGAAAGTCAACTGTATTCACAAGAATCATTTACAGTAAAGTCAGATTTCTAATTCAACCATATAACTTACAATATAAATTATATCATTATGATTGGGTTTTGCTATAAATTTATTCAAATCAAGAAAACTGTTATATTTAAAGCTCTCGAAGTAATTTTGGCACAAGTTAAATCTTATTATTTTGTTAAGTCCCTGAGCTCTGTAACAGGCTTGCATCTGGCCTCCGGGGCCACCTCTCCCCAACAAAGCCTCACAAACTGCCCTAGCCTCATGTTAACTCTAAGTCAGCACTTAGTGCTGTACGCTTTCCAAGCAACTGTGCTCTGCGTAGACCATGCAGCTTCTCTGACATGAACAGCTGGAGGCCCCGCTCCAAAGAGCACCCCCTACAGTGTTTCTGAAGTTTATTAACAGGGCAGAAGACTCAGATGGGATACATCTCAGGCAGCATTCTCACTTTTTCTAAAATTGCGGACAATGAATAGTCAGTGTTTTAACGTCTCCAGAGCTTTATGCCTTAGATGTTCATCTAAACACTGGATGGCAAAGGGGTCAACGTCCATGTCAAACTTATTGGCAAACAAGTGGTGGTTGCGCAGTATCCAGTTCAAGTCACCTGCTCCAAAGACACACACAGAGCGCACATGGACACCGTTGCAGGGTGGATAGGGGGAGCCCTTGGAAACGTCGCCTTCAAAGTACTGCCACATGACAAACCTAGCAATCGCCTGCATGTCAGACATGTCATACTTATGGCTTAAGGGCAGTGAGCCTGGAACTTGAGGGATCCTCTGAATGGTGGCCCAGAGATACTCATCCGGGCTGTATGTGTCTTTTGCCCAGTCCATAAACTTTTGGATTTGTTCATTCTCTAGCACGTACTCCACATACTTCCTACTGACCACAAAATAGGCACTGCCCGAAAACAGAGGTGTTTCCAGAGGAGGGTGTGTTTTGTCAGTCCCTGTATTTGTCAGCTTTCCATTAACAACCGTATAATGTTTTTTCCACCTTTCTTTTTTATGGGGTGGCATTTTCTCTGTCTCTAGGTTGTTTTCTCCCATTAACGACTTGAGTTTCCTGACAATTTCCAGGTTGGTTTTAATTGGAAAATCCATACCACAGAGATTTATCAAGTACTTCCAGTCTGTACTCATTCTGTAGAGGTCCTGCATACAGTTGAGGTCGGCCTGGACCCTACTCCACGACGCATACACCACGGTCTCCAGCTGACTGGCCACGAAGACATTACTAAAACAGGACGCAATACCGATCACTGCCGCCAAAAAGGAATCCTCTGATTTTTTGTCCACGTGAATACAATAGAAATTCTGAGGCATGTAGATGGCCCTCAGGAGCCTGTCAAGCATTTCGATTTTGTGATGAACCACTATGGAATATGCTATTGGAAACTCTGCTTCTTCTTTGCTAAGGGGTTCTACAATATATTTGCGCCTCTTGATGAAGGAAGTACAATCACTAGTCATGTTTATATAGTCATGAGTTGTCCACTGAGGGCGCTTTCTAAACTTCACAGTTAGAATCTCAAGCTTTACCTTTTCAACTTCATCTACATCACCCAGTAAAACCTTGGTGCAATTGATATTACTACTAGGATCGTCTCCGACCAGATCCAAATGTTCAATGCTCACAAACTCGGGCTTTTGATAAATTCTTAGAACAGAGAAGGTGACTAGAGAAAAAACAAGAAGCAAGAAGTAGTATTTAGCGGGATAAGAAAAAAGTCTCCTCCTCAGCAACTTCTTCAGCATTTCAGACAACTGGGGACTTTCCTTTTCTAAGGGCAGTCTTCCAGGCTTCCGGCAGCAATGATGTTGCTTCTGTCCTGGCCTTGGGAGCTGTCAGTTTGCATTTATCAGAAGTGCAAAGGCATCTTTATGTGCAGAAGAGCGCTAAAAGAAAAACAGAAAGGAAACCTATCAATACAGTTTCCATGACATCTTCTCAGGCTCAAAACTGTCCTTGTTGCTATGAGGTCAGGTTTTTAAGAGAAAAACAAAGTGAGTCAAACAGAGGAAAAGGGGTGGTGTTACAGAATCCCAGTCTAGTATTAATGGCAAATTGTTTAAAAACAAAACCAAACCAACCCTCAAATATAAGGATATGCTAGAATATCGTGCAATAAACCTCTTACCTCTCAGGTATACTGAGGTGTAAAAACAGAGTTGCAGACCAGGCTATGATTAGTGAACTCTCTATAGTTGGTGGGTTTCGACACTGGGCCAGTTCTAAGTAGCACCGCATACGTGGAAATCAGTACTCATCTGGGCTCCTCCTGACAGATCCAAACTGCCCATCAGTTGACATCAGCAGACCCAAATATTTGAAGAGATCAGATTTATTTGGCTGCTCACCAATTTACAATTGGGGGTGCACTTAGGGAGATGTTCAGAAATGGCTGTAACATCTAAGAATCTGTATTTATTTATTTAAATCCTCACCTGAGGATATGTTTATAGATTTGAGAGAGAGAGTAAGAGAGAAAAAGAGAAAGAAGTATCGATAGGAGAGAGAAACATGGATCAGTTGCCTCCTAATACACACCCCAACCGATGATCAAACCTGCAACAGGTATGTGCCCTGACCAGGAATCAAACTTATGACCTTTTGGGGTATGAGATGACACTCCAACCAAATGAGCCACCCAGCCAAGGACCTAAGAATATTTGAAGGAAAAACCATTGTTGAAGGAAGGGCCAGTCAATGGAATTCTCAAACTGAACCAGAAAGACACGGCTAAAACTAGGCCAGATTTGGGACCGTTTTGGGCTGACATCACTTAGTTCAGCTCCATACCAGGCATCACAGGAAGAAAAGACCCACACAGCCTTCCTTGCATTACTCACATTGGTTATAACAGGTTATAATAATTAAGACTTGTGGAAAAAAACATTTGTGTATAAATTGTAATTTATGACAGAATTGATGTCTCTATTCAAATTCCAGAAACCCAACTCACTTTTATTACATAAAATGTTTACAAATAGTTAGATCTTGTTTTATTTTCAAATATCAATTTTATAACCTGGCAATTCATTCCATAACTAATTAAGTGCTACAGTTCTAACAAAGAAAGCCAAATGCCATCAATTGTCTCCTTACTGGATTTATAGGATTTAAAACTTACTTTAACATCAGAATTAGCACTAGAACTTTTAAATACTTGATTAGGACATGAATTGTGAATATTAGTAATACAAATAAAATAAATAATTGACAATTATTAGTATACTGTTACAAAAAGTGCCTAATTTCTTTTACCATTTAAAGTTAAGGAACATCTGGCTCATTTAGTTACTTGATTCCAGGTGACATCCTGCGCCCACGCAGAGTGCCTCTCACGCAGTCAGGTCTCTTAATTTTACCAGGCATCCAGCAATGGTGTTATGTCCCATGAGGCTTTCAAAAAAATCTGTGAAATGAAGAGGAAAAAGTATGAAGGGATGTAATGCACATGTAAATACACACACACTCAGAAAGCATGCTGATGAACTAATCCTACATATTCACTTTTCCCCCCTCAAAATTGTGGCTGATTAATATCTCTCTTTTAACATTTCTTCCTCTGCAGTCTTACTTATTTTTCTAATGCTATGTTTATGGATTGCTAAAGGTTTGAAGACACCCTGCAATTTAGTTCAACCTCTTTCAAAGAAAACTCGAGTAGCGTGTCCCAAAGTGTGTACCAAGGACTGGTTTGACAGTCCAATGATTGCAGAGTCTAACATATCTTATCCCCACTGTGCAGATGCCCACACTTACTGGCTCATTCAAGACAACCCTGCAATAGAAGTAGCTGCTTATCTCATCTTCTTCTAACTGTCTAGTCCACTACCCCACTCCAAACCTCTACTAGAAAGCAAATACTGGGAACTTTTGGTAAAATACTTAACCATCTCAACCATTAAAACATCAGATTCCTAAAGAAAATTATACCTTCAAGCAATTTCTGCTCCTCATTGGCTCAAGGAATTTGAAGAAATCTCTGTCTAGTCATTAAGGGACCAAGACTTAAGTGATCTCACACAGCAAAGAATACAGAGTTTAGAAAATTAACTCAGGGAAGTCAATAAACAAACAGACGGCAACAACAATAAACACTCGGTAGAGCAGGGGTAGAGGTAAGATTTTCAGAGTTGCCACATTATAAAATGTGTACTTCAACAACAACAAAAAAATTACAAGGCACAAAAAGATATATGAAACTCTGTCCCCCACGCAGGAAAAAAAGCAGTCAATAAAAACGGCCCCCGAGGAAGCCCAGGCGTCCAACAGATGAAAGACTTTAAGTCAGCTATTATAAATATGTTCAGAGAACTAAAGAACTAAGAAACTAAAAGAACTAAGAAACTAAAAGAAAGTATGAGAATAGTATTTGGCCAAATTGAAATGTTCAATAAAGAGATAGAAATTATTAAAAAGAACAACAGTAATCTGGAATTGAAAGTACAAGAACTGAGTTGAAAAAAATTGACCAGAGGGGCTCAAGAGTGGGTTTGAACTGACAAAAGAAAACACCAGTGGAACTGAGGAAGGATTGAGTGAAAGTACTCACTGAGAAGAAGAAAAAAAGGAAAAAAATTTAAGAAAAATGAGCTAAGCCTCAAAGACCTGTGAGATACCATTAACTGAGCAAAAGTTGCAGCTGGTCTGAGAGAGACAAACAAGCTCTTTTCTTAAATATTTTAACATATATCAAGTGCATGGGTTAAGCAATAACATCCAAGCTAGTCATGACCTTAAACATATGCACCCATTATATGTAACAATATTTAAGAAAAGACTTTGTTTGTATCTCTCAGATCAGCCCTGACCTCCACAGGGTTAAGCATATCAATAAATGCATAATGGGAGTAGCAAAAAGAAAGGGTTGGGGAAGAGCTGGAAGGTGGAGAGGGCTCAGACATGAGCGTGGTGGGGCAGAAAAGTATTTAAATAAGGGCTGAAAACTTCACAAATTTGATTTTAAAAAATTAATCTGCACATCCAAAACTTTCAGTAAGCTCCAAGTACGCAAAATGGCATAATCCCTTTGGCAGACAGTTTGGCAGTTTCTTACAAATCTAAACATATGCTAACCATTCAACCTAGCAATCACACTCCTAGGTGTTTACCCAAATTGAAAACATATGTCCACACAAAAACGTGCATATGAATGTTTATGGAAGCTTACTCATAATGGCCAAAAATTGGAAGAAATCAAGATGTCCTTCAATAGGTGAATGGAAAAACAAACTGTGGTATATGCATAATGTGGAATATTATTCAATGATAAAAAGAAATGAGCTACCAAGCCAAATCTTTTTGACATGGAGGAGACTTAACTTGAAAAAGCTACATACTGTAATGATTCCAACTGTATGATATTCTGGAAAAGGAAAAACTGCAGAGATAATGAAAAGATCAATGTGTGCCAGAGGTTCGGGGAAAGCAAGGAACAAAGGAATTGGTGGAAAACACGGCTCTTTTTAGGGCAGTGAAACTATTCTATATGATGCTGTAATAGTAGCCACATGATGTTTTCTATTTGTCAAAACCCAGAGCTGTATAACATAGAGAGTGACCCCTCTTAACTATAATTAATTAATGATAATGTATCAATATTGTTTCATCATCAAATGTGCGATGGAGGATATGGGAATGCTGTAATTTCTATGCAATTTTTTTGTAAACGTAAGACTTCTCTAAAAAAATAATTAAAATTTAAAAAACTAATCAACACATTTAAGAAGCCCAATGACTTCCAAGGATGATAAACTCAAAGAAATTAATATCTAGATATTTCACAAAGTGTTGAAAGACAGACTAAAAAAGAGTCTTCAAAATGACAAAAGTGATTATACAAGGGGTCCTAAAAATTATCAACAGCTTCAAATCAGAAACAATGGAGCCCGGAAGGTAGTAGATAACATATTCAGAAAGGTAAGTATCCAGAATATATAAAGAATTCTTAAAATTCAACAACAAAAATGAAAATAACCAAACTGTGACACCACTGTGTCACACAGTGGGGTTTTTAAAACAAGACAAGTGGAAGAACTATAGAAGAACTCTCCTAAACAGATTGTTTAAGAATATGAGTACAGCCCTGGCTGGTGTGGTTCAGTGGATTGAGCGCTGGCCTGTGAACCAAAAGGTCATCAGTTTAATTCCCAGTCTGTGCCCATGCCTGGGTTGCAGGCCAGGTCCTCAATTGAGGGTGTGAGAGAGGTTACTGATGGATGTTTCCCTCCCGGTCTCCCTTCCTTCCCCTCTCTCTGAATATAAATAAATAAAATCCATTTTAAAAAAAGAATGTGAGTGCAGGTGGCCTCGGGTAACACTCCTGCGGGACCAGCTGTGCTTTGTGAGGACCCTCAGCTGAGCCTGATGCAACACCTGGCCATGGTCTGGGCACCACAGGGGCCTTCATCTGCTGCATCAACCAGACCTGGGGGTGCAACCGGCTCATCAGAGCCACTCAATACACATGCATGTTGCTTAGATATTTGTTAGAGCCTAAAGCTGACAAAGAGAAGGGGGAAATGAAGCTCAAGAATCTGGAGTCTAGTGTGAGCACTGGCCATAAAGGGTTCAGACTAGGCAATGCAGTTCACACTGTACAGGCCACTCAGCAGAGCATTCATGCCACAGATCTGGTGCCCCACTTCTGCCTGACATTTGCCAACCTGAGCTGTATGGTTTATTGCATCTGTGACACCGTCCTCTAGTGAAGGAGTGTAGGGCTCGCCTCTAGCATTAACAAAAAGAAATAGATTAGGTGAGCCACACACCATTTTTACTACTCTCTCCTGCTGAGCCTGGTCAAGGACCCGTAGAAACTCTCCTTGCAGATGGACAGGGCAAAGAGGGAGAAGTCCCCATCCCAGGATCCTCTGGGGTACAGCATGGCTGATGAGGAAACAGAATGGCTCCAGTCCTTTCTCCTGCTCTTATTTCAATTTTTGAGAAAGCATCCTCCCTTGCTCCTGGACATGGCAGAGAACCTCTGTGATATCCTGAATCCCCTGGACCAGTTAGGGATCTGGCAGTCCATTTCTGGCATCACCGGACTTGGAGGTCTTGTGTCCTCGAGCAGGCACCATCACTGTGGCTTGGCCTCACAGGAAGCCGAAGGCCAAGTGAGGTGGTTTCAGGCTGAAGACTCATACCTCCTGGTGGAATGGACATTTGAATTAAGCAAAGACCATGCCATACTGTACTTAAAGACTTGTTCATGAGAGCTTTTTGTAGACTGATATGTGAGCAGAGGTCAAGCCAAGAATGGAGAAGGGGAACGATGAAGATTTACACGTTTTTTTGGAGTGCTGGGGTGCCTTCTGAATTTCCGAGTATTTTCTCTTCATCTCACATTCACTGAGCCTCTCTTATTGCATACAGTGGGAACTTAGTGTTTGCTGAATGAACAAAAGTTGAAGGAAAAAAATTTAAAAAGGCCCAAACTCACAAGCAAACATTAACATACAATAACTTTTTGGCTGTGTGCCTCCAGGAGAGGCCCCTTCCTCCATAGGTGCTGACGCCTGGGCGGGGGCTGGAGCAGCTGGGCTTATAGCCTCTTAAACTGCCTGCCTTGGCACCTCTGTATTCCTGTCCTTCCTCCATCCAAAGGTAGGATCAGGAACACATGAGGCACCTTCAAGGTATAAGCACCTTTAGGCAGTGCAGTGCCTAAGCAAAAAAGCAGAAGCAGATAGGAAGAACTTGAAGTAAAAATAATGTGCAAGGTCACAACAGGTAACTGTAGGTAGCCTGTGAGAGATAAGGAAACTGACGTTTAAAAAAACAGAGGCCAGGGCCGCATCCCTCAGACTCTCAGTCCAGTGTTCCTTCTGTGGTATTTAACTGCCCTCCTGGTGGCGTGGGAGTGGGAGACTCTCCAGAATCCTATGCAAAGAGCCTTTTTGAGAACCTGTGTTGGTCAGCAGTTTCTATTTTCTACAAAAATTAAAGCTATATTTAGACTTATCAGCTAGGTTGTTTTATTTAAAGCCATATGACAATTTAGGCATGTCCACATTAATTTTCATCAAAATTTATGTAATTAAGTTTCACAAATACTCTGCATGTAGGAGTGTTGCAGTTTTCTATGGTAAGTCAGACTTCCTCACGTGCATAAGGGGTTGGGGAGGTGGTTGAGGAGAGGCCACCTGCTGACGGTGCCGACTTCCCACCTTGGGTGTTGGGTTCTTGTGACTACAGATCCTCTAATTTGAGGGAAGTGGGGTTGAGAAATAGGAGGCCAATGTCAGCCTTACCAGTAAAGCCATCTCATTTTTTTGAGTGGAAATGAGAAAAGAAGTGTGCACTAACTAATTTTCCCATGCATGTGATGGAGCTTCTTAAAAAGTAGACTCAGGTGCCTGTCTCTTTATTTTTAAAGTGATCAATCAAGATATGGGATTTGAAAAA